AAGGCGCAATTAGGAACCTACCAGTGCTACAGAAACGACAATATTACCAGCTGATGGTGCGAATACTCATGGAGTGACATGCATCATGGAGTGTAACTTAGAAATCAAATGCGTTTCGGAATGTTTACGTCGCCTTAATTGTGTCTTCTTTTTGACTATGAACACAGTAATGACAGCAAATGTGGACGACGAAGATGGAGTCGTTCACACACATCCACGTCCAATGGCTTCCGCCTAATGAATGCAGAAGTCACCTTGAAGGTCAAGACCAACACATCTCATAGGCTGATGTGGGCGCAAAGCGTCTATATAAATGCGTTAGGTTGTAAGTGCGGGTCACTTGAGGATTGAAGATGATGCTACACTTCTGTTTCTTGTTGGTGGCTACCTTCGCTTTGGGCAAAGTGGTCATGGTAGATAGCGGTAAGACGACAATTGACAAGAAGTCTAAGTGTGAATCATTTAGGAGGATTTTGTTTCTCCTTCAAATATCTTATTTTGTACTATGATAAGTGCTGCTCGATCTCACCTTATCTTTTGAATTTGGACCTCTCTTGTTTCCCAAATTTCAAATGATGGATTTATCCATGGTGTTGTTAACTTGCAGTCGCTAGGGAACAACGCTAATGTGCGTAACTGTCTGCTGAACACTAAAGCACCCAGCCATTGTGACCGCATGTTTTTGATAATGCTGAGAATAATAACCGGGTCCATGGCTCATTAGTTCTTCTTCCCCCTTCAGGCTCACTATTTAATTCATCAGACCCGTCAGATGCACACACAATATATATGTCCTGTAGTAGTATCTTGTCGCACTGCTATTCAACATAAATGGGGACACCCAAAAATTGCGTCTCTTAGTATCAATTGGAGGTAAGAGAAAGCTGATTGAGATGGATAGTGGACTTTGGCTTTATCACCGACTTGGAGGTCTAGGCATTCACATCGCGACTCATCCTCTGTCCCTTATCCAAATTTGACTCAGTTGACAATCCGCCATCCCCTCTTACTACAAACTTCGTCACAATTACTGCTTCGCGTTAGGGAAGTTCAGGCTTGGCACCTGCCACAGAGTTTCGTAAATCTCGCTTCACATCACACCTCTGCCTACTTCATTTGAAATTGTCCTCAAAGTGTTGACTCAGAAAAATGGCATGCATTTTTTCATCGGCACTTCTATTAGCTTCAACCCAAAACCCTTTCATAAGAGTTGATGATTTTCAAATAGTGTATGGGTTTGCCTAATTCACATGACCATGTGTATATAATGGTTAATTTGAATGCAGTATAATTACCTTTCGCCTCTCCAGTTGAGCTCTTTCTTGAATTCCGAAATAAGGAAGGCAGGATGAAGGGATTTGCTACTGGCTATGGTCAGTAATATGAGTAGCGAAAGATATCTGCTGAGGAATTAACCTGGAATGTTTTTTGGCGGTAACAGTCAACATAATCGAAAGAGAGTGACATTTGCATTCGAAATATGCTTGTCCCTTTGTGCGTGGATGTGATCGTTAAAGTGTGTGCTGTATAAAAGCACTCAGTGAATGATTCCAGAGGTGGTACAGAGTTATTTGGTGCTTGCTGATAGCACAGGCATTGGAAAGTTCTCCAGTCACATTCACGATGACAAGAGAATGGGAGAAGAAGGGGGACGGTGTTGGACTTTGCAACGTAATTTTGTGGATGTTCTAAACTTTAGACGCATTGACGACAGATGACCAGTTTGAAGGAAGAATCGGAATGGTGGACCGCATTCATTGGGTTCGCATGGGTCCTCAGGAGTATCGCTTAACATGGGACATCCAAAACGTTGATATGGATGTCAACCGACTCTCACTATCTGCAATACCAACCGATCTTGGTGACCAGCCGTATGAGGGCACTGCGAATTTCTTAGACGGACGGATGAACCTTGAGCGGATTCTACCGAATAAATGGTACAGCGTTCGCTTGGAAGCATCGAAAGACCAGACTACCATTTGGTCCTTCCTTGGATCAGTAAAATCTCTGCCTACAGGTAAGTTGGTCCCTTCGTCTACAAACACAATGTCATTGCACTCTAGGTGGTAGGTCAGGTTGAGCTTCCCATGCAGTCTGTATCGCAAAAGACAGCGTTATTGCGATCACTCGATTGTAGTAGCATTAGTAAGGAGGCTTAGGAGTGAGTCGATAAAGAGTAGTCATTAATCACACTTCATTTTACGACGGTTTACTCGCTGCATAGAACTGACGTGAATTTTTGGTAAAACTCTTAATGCGGCAGAGACTGTTAAAGGTCTAAGTCGGCAAACAGAAGTCTCAGAATCTGGTTAACTTTACTGTATTTTCGTTTACTAGCATTAAATTCTAAAACGCAATCCATCTATCGATGCAGTTGAAGAGTAACTCTCCAGATGTTAAACGTGTAAGACGAAGGCAAGTGACTACACACTGGCGCCTCTTTCTAAGAGCCCAACAAAGGTGCAACTAAGAAGTGAATACGCCTAGAAGTTGGAAGGCAATCATACTTCTGCCCATTATTGACCAACCAGAAACTCGTCCTTGACAAAATTGCGTTTTGGAAGGTGTTGAAACGTCGTTTTGTCCCCTTCACTAAGCTGTTTGTCTACACGTTTCTGCGAGCTCTTAGACATCGTGCCACCCTCCTCCCTCCACAATGCTTTGTTGAGTACTTTGTGGACAATCAAACTGGAGATCATGAGGCATTGCGCACATGGATTAGAATTCGTCTACCTCCACCAGTCACATCGGGAACGCAATGTACTAATGAGAGCAGTGCAAAATCTTGAGTAGAACGTAGCCATGCGATTTCAATTCAACCCATGATCGTAGTGCTGCTAGCATAACGAATTCTTAAACAAGAACTGACACTCTTAAGATTGTGCAGACTTCGTATAACTACCTGAACCAGATAAGTCGACCCAAAGTGTCGTGGATCCGGCTTAGGGATTTACAAAGAGGAGGCCATACTGTGCCTTCTTCCTTTTGAATTATCTTGCCATTGACAGTCTTCCATCCTACTACTCCGGTTAGTACTTTATGAAGGTGCAGTCAACTAACATCGGCGTTTATATGATTGGCGACTTCCTCCCCTTCCATTATCTTCACGATAGGAAGACTTCCATTTTATTTGCATCTCCTCAAGTTGTGCTAAACTGTTTTACCGAGCTTCACCTTGTTGGACTGCAACACGCTATTTTACACATGTATTTTTCTACCAAGTGATGCTCTTTGCGAGCATCCAAAGATGAATAAAGTGGTAAAAATAGCATAGTGTGAATATGCAGTGTCATGATTCGCGTCACTACATCAGCCCTTGCTGAAATTACTTCGAGACGCTTAGCAGGAGTTGTACGCTCTTCATTTCACCTTCCCCCTCATTCTTTCCTACACAATCTCTTTTAGAAGTGCCTTTGAAATGCACGTATTAACAACCACAATAGTGTGCAGCATAATTACGGCATGTGCGTGCAATTAGGGATGTTGAGGTGGACGAGGAGGAGTATTGCATGCTGAAATTATGAAAATGTGGTATTCTTCAGTCATGGCCCCAAATGTCAGAAAATTAGGGACCGTAGAATTTCTTGCTTGACTTTAATGAACGAGAAATAGTGCTAGCTAATTTGTCGCTCATGGCCGTTTTATTGTATTTTATCCTTAGAAGTGACGATGACAAATGTGGAGGACTTAAATAAGCCTACTGTTTCAAACCACTTCCTTTGGTTGTACGTGAACCCCCAGACTTATCATCTACGTTGGGACATCAAAGGTCTAGCCAAGTACAACATGGACACAATTACTATAAAGTTAAAGAGAGCTGACGATACTGGTGTGCCAATTGAGAAGTCGGAGAAATTCCAGCTCGGAGTAACCACTCTGGAGGACCTGGACTCTGACACATTATACAATCTCGTTGTAAAAGCGACCGCCAACAGCAATGATATATGGACGTTCGACGCTAAAATCAAAACCTTACCCACAGGTAAGCTCATGTTTATAACTACTAACTTGGGGTATGTACATGCTAACCAGTAAGTGAAGTTAAATATCTCGCGCTGCCTGCATTGTGGTAGGTAAACTGTTGGGGACTAGCATGATTGTCCATTTATACTTGATTGAAATAATAAGCTCACAATAAACAGGTACTTATTCAGTCATCGATAAAATTAAGATGATTTGAAATCTCGCTTCCGAAACTGCAAGACTAGCATCATTTGGCGGCACTCACTCCAACTATCTCTTGTCCCCTTCAAGTTCGAAAGAGTTATAACGAGCATCTCACACATGCTCACGTCGACATGGCACAGCATGAGTACATTGGCACGATTGCTCGCTTCAAGACTGAGAACATTGGGTTAAGGAATGCAAACTGACGTCATATACGTCAAAAAACATGATGAATATGAGAATGGAAATAATAGGTACTCTTGGTAGATAATTTAAGGTGTAGTGAAAGGAGTTATACTGTGTTTTGTGCAATATTGTTACTTCTGTGCCACTGCGTGCTGGTAGGTGGAGAATCCAATTTTGGTTGATGTGGACATCAACCTTTGCTAATGCATCCAAAACTCATTGAAATTGCTCGCCACAATCTTTAAGGTCATTCCTGTTCATTAAGATAAAACAAATACCCACCAAAACGTTCCATTTATATGTTAGAAATGATAATGACAGAAGTCGTAACCATCAAAGCAACCGCTCTGCCGCACCACGTTAGTGTGGTTAAATTGGACTCGACTACCTATCAAATAAAGGGGAACTTTGAGAGCCTGGCTGTACTCAATGCTGATCGAATGGCTGTAACTGCAGAAGCAGTTGATGCACCTGAATCTGTTATTACGAAATCTGAGCGTCTTGCAGTAAAAGAAACCAATCTTGAGGGACTCCGTCCCGACACTCTGTACAATGTGCTTCTGGAGGCGTTCGCAGGTGAAGTCAAAGCCTGGTCTTACGCCACAACATTCAAAACTTCGACCACTGGTAAGCCCGTGCTTGTGATTATGACATGCAACTCCAAATCAAAGGTTACCCCACATTAAAGGCACGTCTTGCAGCACAGTCAGCGTTCATAGTTTCAACTGCAACGTTTTCATTTTTGTTGATGCGTCTCTGTACAGGGTTGATAGTTGAGCCTCCTCCATGTATTGCGTTGCTTTGCAGAGGAAGGAAGCACTAGCACTGGCTGTGGAATGTCTTTCGCGTCATTTGCCGTCCTTACTGTTTGCCTGGCGGCAGTCATTGCTTAAAAAAGTTGTGTAAGTTCAAACTGTGCAAACTGTGAATGATCACGACTGATGCCTGGACTAACCGAGCACTTGCTTTTCCCACACAGGATTTGCGGATGCAAGAAACACATCCCCCTCCAATTCTTCTGTATTTATCTAATGATGATGTGCATTCCTATTTCGTAGTAGTAAATACAAAGTTTTGCGGTTATTAGGAGTGTTTTGGCATTTCGGTTATTCTACTCAATTCTACAGTGGTGTACTTCTGTGAAGGCACAAGAGAAAAGTGTTTGGTCGGTATCTGGAGCAACCTGCGCTTGGTCATCCTCCTCTCTGTATGTTAGAGTGTGCCATAAAATGCGGAACTGATGCGCCACCAAGCCAAAGGGTCGGATCACCTCATTAACTCGAAAGCAAAAGGCGGAAGAACTGCTAAACTTGCTCCTTTGTTCACCTCTTCATACAGCCACTTGTGAAGTTCACCTCTTCCCTCCATTGCTTAAAGTCGTGTAATCTGGTGCTAGGTGAAGCACATCCATCCCAATGCGCACTAAGTGCATGCATTTAAGATTTCGCCACCTCTATCCACACATCGGCGGAACTAAAGGCGATGGACAAATGCCACCTGCTACAGAGCGTCAAGCAATGCGAGCTACTTGGCGCTCATTTTTCATCACAAAAAGTAGCCCACCACTGAATGCTATGCAGGAATGCCAGTTTGCATAATGAAACAACGTTATCTATGCGAAGTTGCGTAGCTTCACCCATTCACTCAAAAATGCGTTGTCTTTGTGATGACAGAATGACTTGGAATAGTGGTGAATTAGGGACATGGCAGACTGTACTCTAGTCGACTCTATATTTAGTAATCGTAGTGAACAAAGGCGAGGCAGACTTTTGATGCTGCTAGAGGTGCGTGTCATTACTTTGGTGTTGCGATTACATCACCTCATCCAAATCCGTCTGCATTATGACAAATTGCTCACGTTTATTGAGCTCTTTTTGGCACAAATTATCTGAGACAATAGAAGAAATCTTAATTTTTCTAAATGGATGTTTAAACCTACACAACAGTGCAGAAAGTTAATGCCTGTTTACGATTTCCGAGACAGTTTCTCAGATGATGCTAATTTTCCTCTCTAGCAAAGGGTGCAGCTGAAATGAAACTTTGGCACTTGATGAAGCATGGGATGTGACCTTTTCGAACTACAACTGCCTATCAGAGCACTGGAGCACTCATGTGTGCAGTGAAAAGAAATGCAATAAAGACACGACGATGAGAATCTCTGATTGCATCGAAGCAAATGAAGACTTTGAGGGCATCAAGGTTATGCGTTGTGTATCGCTGGTGATTAATATAAAGCTCACTCAATTGTGGAGGACATTAGTTTCACCCTACACCAGTAGGATATTTCGACCTGCGAACGAGACCAGCAGATCTATGCAGTGTTAGTAATTTGAGGCAAACGTTATTTGCGTTGATTTTTTTGCGATGACATGGTGGACGTAGCTGTAGATGATCCATGTCGTTTCAGAATGCTACGCTATGAGGCTCCACAGACGGAGACTATTTTATTGGAAAGGTCACAAGTGGCTCGGGTGTCATGGCTCCTAGTAACGCGGTCCTCGACGCAGGACTTCTGATTCGGTACTAGCAGTGAGCTACGTAGAAAGAGGCTCTGGTCACTTAAAGCAACGAGTTTGGAAATGAAGGAAATTAAAATTGGGGTAAATTACTACTAAACAAAAATAAATTGCCATGGGGAGGGTGCCGCATATAGCGCTGTTGGAGAAGACGAGGGCAACAGAGAAGCATTCGGATGTAAACTTAGAAAATGCAATGTGCGCAGTTTCCGCGTCTGCTGCACTTAACTTGAGCTTTAGCTTTGAGATTGGACAGGATGCAGTGTGCTCATCGTTGGTTCTAGTGCTGATAACAATCATGTGCTCATCGTGTATCCGAGAACACGAACAGGCAATTGCAGCAGAGCTACCCATTCGAAACACAAGCGGTGGAAGATAAGCCACTGCATGCGTGTATAAGGTCCTCGCACCCGCCATTTCTGGCACTTTTGTTAATGTTTCTAGGTGGTATAAGTGTATTGACAAGTAAGCACACTTGATGTGGTTGTAAGATAAATTGAGTGAGTGAATGAGTGTGCGAAGCTTTATTGGGGAGGAGGATGACTATCAATAACACCTACTATAAAGTGTCAAATACAATTCCAAATACACCCGCAACACGGACTCGATTTACAATTACAACTACCTAGTTGATGGACATCTCACCACCCACTACCAACCTCATACTTTATGTCAATTACATTAATTATAGTACATAAAGCAAAGTGGTGTCTCCTCCTCTCTCCCTACTTCATAAAATTGAGAATTTACGAAACACTATTATGTTTTGCTACCTTCACTTTTACAGTTAGGAAGCACTTGCTGATCCACTCTTCTTCTTTACACAATTCCGCATTGCCCGTTGTAGGAGCACACGTTTGTGAGAGAACCTAAGGTGTTGTTTTAAAGAAGGAATCATAAATTTGCTGGAAGTTGGAGACCTATTGATGGCCTCTGTGTTGGCCTTCATGTCACCGGTGATTATGATGCAGGTGGAGTTGCAACCACTTTGTGAAAACAA